CCAACTAGGTAATATTTTTAAGAAAAAATTATTTTGAATGAATTTTTTCCTACTAAAAAAGAAGTCTTATCGGGTTATTCAATATGCTGAGGATTCTGATCATCATCACAAACTTTTGTCAGCACATATGCGCTTTATAAAGATTGAACAGTAGGCATATGTTGCCTATTGTGGGAGTAAATTGCATCTCTGTTCCTATGCTCTTTATGATCATGTTAAACATAGGGTAGTATTAGTGTGGATCAAATAATGCATCATAAATTTGAGAAGAAACATAAAAGAAAAGTGGAAAGAGTGATATCTGAATAACAGATTAATGAATCACAATATTTATGATGCCAAATAAACATCTGTGATGGGCTTTTTCGGCAAATTCAATCTGTTGATTCAGTAGAGTCTTGAAATAATATAAATGTTTCATATCTTCTGCAAAATTTTTGATTTGATGGATTGGTTTGACTGAATTAATTGTTTTAACTAGGAGATGCTACATCAAAGTCAAATAGATTTTGTCACAAACATCTACCTGTTCTTCTCTTGTTTATATTATTTATTTGAAAATGCAAAATTTTTTTAGTTAAGTGTAGGAATAGCAGATCTTTTATTTTAATTTATCATGACAAAAACGTGAAATATGAGTTTTATCACTAGTAAGCTGCCTTCCATGCAGCTCCAATCACAGTCCCAAAACGTTCTGCCTTTTCTGCTGACAACTTTATTCGTTTATTAACCTTTTTATTTTCTGATTTTTTATGTTGTTGAATTCTTGATCTCTGTCTAGTTGTATGATAATTAGATTTACTATAAACATCAGCACGTTGTTGAAAACGATGACGATGTTTGCCTGTTCATTTATTACATTGATGTAGTACATCAATTCCTACGTTACATAAATGAACACATTGCTAAAGAATTGTATCGTAAGAAAGAAAACCTACTTGCAGGAACTTTATATTTAGCACTTACTTTTACAGATCTTGGCAATTTTTTTTAATCAACTGATTATTTTCAATTAATTACTGAAATTAGCGAATAAATATGATCTAACTATCTGATCTACTGATAATTTTTCAGACATCGACTCTTGTACCATTATGGTAATGAAATCTGATTTAGTCATTGATTTCATTAAAAAATACAATAAATCGCGATCTTATGTCATTGTTTATTAAAATCGCCAAAATCATCACGATTTTCACCATATGTAATATTCACACATTGTTTCTGAAGACACTTTTTATATCAGTTTATATACATGTTTTCACCTATAGCAACAGAAATGCAGGATTGTTGGCCACGGATTAGGAGAACCTTTTCCGTGTTTCTCCTCTTCGGCACGTAGAGCCCATCCTGCTTTGAAGAGGAAGGACGTTTCCCGGAAAACCCGCGCCCTTGTCGTGCTTGTCTGTGAGTGTTATTCGGAAAACCCGCACTCCAGCAAGCATATGCATAATTTTTGAATAGGCATTGTTCGGAAAACCCGTGCCTTTGGCTTGTTTGTCTGTGAGTGTTACTCGGAAAACCCGCACTCCAGCAAGCGTATGCATAATTTTTGAATAGGCATTGTTCGGAAAACCCGTGCCCATTTCGTAATTTTTATATGAACCTGATTCGGTAAACTCGCATCCATTATGTGATTCATTCTATTTCTCCAATATTACAGACGAGACTATCTTTTATCCATTCCATGTGAAGATGATTCAAGCGCTCTTTTAGCATTAGCCCAAAGATTTTCAAATACTTTTATCTCTTCAATAGCAGCCTCGTTCTCTTGAAAATCGTCTTCTAACTCTTCCTGATCATCATTTTCATTGTCATAACTTTTGACACTTTTCTTCTGGGCGGATAATTTATCTGTTGATGTTTGTTCTACACCACTTATTTGTCTTTCACGCTTCAGTCGGCCAAAAAAAGATCGAATTTGACTTTCATTCAAAATCTCGTTAGCTGAAAAATAGAATTTGTTATTTTCTTTCAAGGTTTCCATATCTGACACAACCTCTTTCGGTTTCCAATGGTTCCCATTTAAAATACCCTCATTAAATTTTCTCTTAAGATATTCTCGCTGTTTATCAGAGAATTTTGTATTCGATTTGTGCACTGATAAAGCCCAACCTTTCGGAAGAGGAGTTGTCTCAGCATCGACTACGTCCACTAAATTCATATCAATCGATATGATTCGTCGATTTTCGACTTCTTCTAATTTCGAATGATACATTTTCATTGCTGTATCTTTCATTGAAAGCTTTTCAACTACACATCGATGTTTACCAATGATTATATGGTTCATGTAGTTTCCAAATTTTACAAATTCTGCTACGCAGCCTGGCTCAACATCACATTCATATATATTCTTTTGTTTATTACAGGTTTGTGATGATTGCTCCTCTTGTATGTCGCACTCGTCTACATCCATAGTTTCATCACGATGTCTTTCTTTTGTCTCTACCCATTCATGAGTAAAATCTTCAATGCATCTTGATGTCAAATCAAGAATATCCTGATCTCGATTCAACTGCGACCACGGTATCAAAAGACCGGAACCTATGTTCCATGAACGGTGTACTAAGAGACCTTTACTCTGATACTCGAAATTATAATAGTTCGTTATCTGCTTGATAGTACACCTCTTACTTTTTTTAAATTCATTATTTTCAATTCGGCAGTCAAGTGCAAAAACACCTTTGACCCCTTTGTATGAGTGACATGCTTCGACAAACTCAGAAGCAGTTGTCACATTGTGATTTTCATTCGTATATCTACGATTATGTGACTTAAGTACGGCAGCAAAACGATCACTAGAACCTTTATTGGCCTGTGGATCACCAAAATCAATTCGCTTGATTGCTATACCAGTCTTTTCAGATATATGCTTGGCTGACACAAGTGTGTTTGCCGAATGATAACAACCTGCGTTATCTGATCGGATAAATGCATTTTTTATCTGTGGATCAGTTTCTTTGACGCGGCATAAAACGTCGTTCAAGATAGCAACGATTGTGTCACTATCCTGTGTACACTGATCAAAAACATGTACAAAAACTTTATATTTAAAAGAATGTTTCTTTTTCTTATCAATGACACCATTGTCATCGTTGTTTTCTCCAGACAGATCAGTCATTTCGTGCTCACTGATTTGCTGACTATCGTCTAAGACATCAGTGTCTTCATCGAATATGCTATTCTCGTCTTCAGCACTTGCATCATTTTTCATTACAACAGTAATATGCCAACTGATGCCTCGTTTACCAAAAAATTCTGATTGTGGCTCTCGACTTTTAATAGGAAGAAACTTCATGGCCCAATCAAGATTGAGATAAATCTCATCGTTAGATAGTTTATCGAGTAAATTTTCTCGACATAAATCTTGATTAATGGATCTTAATAAATGAGCCTTCCATGCTTCAATAGCTTCACGATATGACCGAAACTTTTTTAAAGTTCGATGTAATAGTTCTTCGTCCTCTTCTGTTTCTTCTAGAAGTCGTTCAATTTCATTTAGAGTTCTCGTTAGATTTGAGCATTCAGCACAGGATTCATTGTGCTCATGATCACAATCTTGAGCAAAATCACGTTTTTCTGGATCGCTCAACGCATAAACGCAACAATGATCAGCAATATTGCTCGATCTCGCTACGTGCACTTTATAATCAGATTTTAAATAAAATCGAGCACGTTTCAAATTCTCAATAAGTCGAGCACTATCATTATGTAGTGCGACTTTATCTTCAATCATTTTTCGTATGCCGTCAAATGCCTCTCCAGCTTCAGCTGCAAAGTAATTTATACCTTGTAAAGACTTTCTTGTTGACGCTTTACAAGCATCGAGAATAGTAAACAGACTACTTTTGCCAAGTGGTTCAAAATCTGAACACATCTCTTCACAATAAAGAAGATACTGATCGATAATACGAGTCGGTCCCATATTTCTTATCGTGTTTGGAATGAAAAGTTCAATTCCAGACGATAACTTCAACACTTTTTCACCAAAGGGCATATCTGTGCACACATGAGGTGAAATAATAAAATCAAGAAAGTGAGCGACTTGATGATCATCAAACCGTTGGACAACTTTTGTTGTTTCTTCAACTCTGGAACCGAGACTATATTTTTTAGCATGCAAACGTGCTGCAGTAAATCTGCCACTAGTTAAACCTGGTATGAATAACTGAATGAGTTTTAACGTTATTTTCGGTGCAACAATTGAGAGAATCTCTCGTCTTGATTGCCAAGATTCAGAATTATGATATGCTTCTGAAACGCCACTCATTATTTGACGAAAATTTCCGTCTAAAACAATATTGGACTCTTCATTATTCAGATTATCGATTGTGTCCTGCATGTAGATATCAGCATCATTCTGTGCTAGCACAGATGTAACTGATTTGAATATAAATTTGGCTATACCAATATATCTCAACTTGACACGATGTGACAAATCCTTATAAGACGTCGTCACATGGACTTTTCTTTTACTGCTACAAGCAGCAAGAAAACTGTTCAAAGCTGCTATTTGTTCTTTCAACTTTTCTTCATCAATGGAAGGATCATAAGGTGGTTCATAATCAAGATCTTTATCTTGCATAGAATCTTCTTCACAACATACTGAATCTGGATCGAAAAGACACTCAAAAGCATCGTTATGAAGTCCTTCTCTTGATGCTTCCGTTTTCTTTGAAACTTCCGTTCGACAGTGACGACAAATAAATTTTCCATATGAATTTCTCAAGTGGAAAACTTCGAATAACGTGATAGCTTGAGACGCAGTGACGTTTCTCAGGTCCGCCGTCGCATACGACGATGTTTCTCTGACATTTAAACAACAATTACATTTAGTGTACCCTTTTCGAAAATAAAAATGTTGTAACAATGAATTACAATGAACCTCACAAACGAAAACGATATCGGTATTAAATTTGTGCTGAAAAAACAAATCAGCTCTTAGAAGCATCACTTCTAAAGCAGTTTCAGCATCACGAAAACAGCTTTTTGTTACTACCTGATTTTTCAGTTTCGACATAGTCGTCCAAGTTGACTTAGCGGAACAAACAATTTCATCACAAGAACCAGCAAAAAAACATTTTTCGCTAGTCATTTCTGAAAAATAGATTATCACTTACTTATTAATCAAGGAAAATAATCGTTTATAAATGCTCTTTATATACGATGAATAATAACGGTAAATTTTTTACGCGTTTGTGTATATAGGAAAGTATCGTTATAAAATGATTACGTGATTTACGAACATATACAGAAAGAAAAACGCATCGAATGCACATGGCTAGGGAGAATTTTTTCTTCCTTTCGATTTTTCTATTAATCAGTATATCCATTGCGTCACATATGTTCAGACAGTAAATTCAAGTCAAAAGAAAAGAAAAACTTAGTTCAATTGATTCGTGTACGGAATTCATACGTATTCTCACAGGTCATTATGACAACTCATATTAGCTACGTGATTTTACCTTCATTAATTACAATAAGTGTTCATTCTTTAGTTTAAATAGGACATATGCGCGTTGGAATATATCCTACCTATCTGCAAAATATTTTAGATACTTCGTAAACAACTCAAACTTCTATATTTTATTAGGAAAAATTCATTCAAAATAATTTTTTCTTAAAAATATTACCTAGTTGG